TATGTACCTCAGGGCATCTCCTGACCCTCCTTCCTCCTTCATCCCCTTTCTTCTCTTTCCTAATTTCAGCTCTTCAAGAGGACTGAGCCAGGCTTTCCTCTTGTGCCATCCTCCCCAGCCCTAAGTTGAAGTTCTAAGTCAAGCTCTGGGTTGGGCTGTCTTGGGGTGAGGTGGTTCCTCTTCTCCACAATGTGGTGGGTGATGAAGATCTGGCCATACCCTTGCTTAGCTGGGCTGAAGATGGTGCCTGAGTGGGTCGTGATGCAGCAGCTTGTGGAGAATGCTCCTTTCCTGAGAAAAACAGTAGGCTAAACAAAGTGTGTCCTTTGAAAGGTGTAGAACTTTGGTAGAAGTTTCCTGGGTAGGCAGTCTCCCAAAGCTGCTGTTTGCATACATTTTAGTGGCATAGCACTTTGGGTTGTTAAAGCTTTTTTTTTTTTTTTTTTTTTTTCTGTACTAATGATAGACTCCATTGAAAACTCACTGCTTTGGCCAATCCCATGGGATGACCGCCATGTATTTGTGAGAAGGTAGGTCAGAAGGACAGTGTTTTGAGTGAGAGTATTTTTGTTTGTTGTTTGGTGCAGTCAAAAGCTTGGTTGAGACAGAAGTTTTCATGCTCTTAACATAAGCAGTTGCAGCAAAGAAAATCCCCTCAGATTACTGTGGATTTCCTGTGTGAACCATAGGGCACTGTGCACACCAATGTCCATGGTGTCCAGCTGTTAACGAGATGGGCCCTCTGCCGAGCTATGATGCAACTTAGACAGGAGAACAGTTATAAATTTATATATATATATATCTGTATATATATATATATACATATATATATACACACACACACACACACACACACACACACACACACACACACATACACACACATACACACACACACACCCCTTTGGAAGTTCATCTAGAGCAGAGATCTTCAAGCTGAGGTACATATACCCCTAAGACACAAAAAGATTCCTAAGAGTTGTGCAGGCAGCTTGGAAAATCAAGTAAAGGTATCAATTTCTAGATTCTCAATTGCTATAGGTATTTGTTCTTAGAATTGTTCTATCTAAAGATGGGCCTTTGGTTCAGGTTCTCACCAACCCCTTCATAATTTTCATTCTACTGTTTTTCACCAGATAGGTATAACCGCACCCTCAGTCATCCCAAGGGTTATCACCCTGCTTTGCCCCAAGACAAGAACTGTTTGCGGGCCAGATGGTGAGCAATGTAAAAGCAGGTGCTGAGAACAGAGGCACTCTGCCTCTCAGGTTCCACATCCCAGGGCCAGGTGGTTCCCAACTTTTTGCTTTCATCACAATTGAGGGAAGACTTATCAGATAGTTGATCACTCAAAATGATTCTTGGTGATGAATTCTATATTGCTTTTGATATACAACTCAGAAGTTCAAAGCATTGAGTGATATATAGAACAGATTTCTTCCATTCACAACTTCTTTTTTTCTGTGAATAGGTTTATTAGAATTTACAGTTTTAAGAAGCTAAAATGGAAGCAGAACTGTTGTTTGACCTGCCTCTTTTCTTGACCATATCTCCTTATTGATCTGGGCTATATAAACTATTTGAGAAACCAAAAGCCCAATTCATTCGTTGCCAACGACATTTCCAGTAAAATTTCATTTGTAATGTGTTTAATAATTATTTATCAAAATAATTTAGGGGCACCTGGATGGCTCAGTTGGTTAAGTGTCTACCTTCTGCTCAGGTCATGGCCCGAGGGTCCTGGGATCGAGCCCAGGTCAGGCTCCCTGCTGGAGGAGTGGTGTTTTTGCTTCTTCCACTCCCTCTGCATTCTCTGTCTCTCAAGTAAATAAATAAAATCTTTAAAAAAATTAAATTTATTTGGTTTTGGTGGATTACATACTACTTATCATTATGGCAAGTAAATTCAGGCAAAAAAATTTTAAGACTTAGAGATTTGTGATTGCTAAGTCTTGTGATAGGACATAAAAGACACTTAACTTATATACATATTTTTGTTGCAGAGAAGTATGATAGGATGATCAATATAAGATTTCCAAATAAAAAAATATATTGCACTACAGTATACGTGAGAGAGTGGAATGGAAATATGAATTCAAGAAGAAAAATCGTGCAAAATTTCTAGCTATTAAAGAAGTTGTGTGCATGAATTTTAAACTGATGCTGGTGAGATCCATTCTTATGATGGTCCGTCGGCTACATCTAGAATAGTGTTGCAGGGCACCTGGGTGGCTCAGTCGGTTGAGCGTCCAGCTCTTGATTCTTGAGCGTCTAGCTCAGGTCATAACCTCAGGGTCGTAAGATTGAGCCCCGCATTGGACTCCACACTCAGTGGGGATTCTGCTTGAGATTCTCTCTCCTTCTCTCTCTGCTCCTCCCCCACTCATTCTCTCTCTCTCTCTCTCTCTCAAATAAATAAATAGATCTTTAAAAAAATACAAAAAAATAGTGTTGCAACTGTTTTTATTTTATAGGTCACCATGTACAATGTTCCAAATTATACTTTGCAACTGTTTAAAGAGAAAATGAAAAATTTTAGATGTTAATTTGTTAAAAAAAAAAAAAAGGAGACAAGGTACACATAATTTAAAAACCATTCCTGGGGGATATGAGAGCAGACATCGGCAGGCTGCCATGCTTAGGTATCTATTGGGAGAAGGGTTACATATTAGAGTCAAAAAACCTTGGTTCTACCATTTATTAGCTCTGTGACTTTGCACCAATTACTTAAATGGACCTAATTTGATTTTCTTTTACAACAGAACCAATACTTACTAAACTGTGGTGAAGTCAGTGACTCGATGTGCACAGCCCTCTTAGCAGAGGGTCCCTGATGTAATCAGCATCATTATCTTCCTCCGCATCCACTTCCCCCAAGGCTGTATGATCCCTCTTTCCATCACCCTCTTTCTCCTTTCCTCCCTCACCCCATGTATATACAAAGTTGGCCTTATCTTATATCCTCTATTAAGTATATTTGATTCTCATTCAAAAGGTCCTAAAGTATCTTCTGTAAATTCTCATCCAATGAATGAAAAAATACATATGTTTAACTATGTTCCAAGCACTATTATGGCACTAGAGATAACTGTGAATAGAAAAAAGACAAAATCCCTGTCGTCACAGGGCTTACTAAATGCACAGTGATGAGGCTGCAATGGCAGTCCCAATCAGCAAGGTCCTTTCACTCCCAAGAGACTAGTTAGATTTCTGTGGATTGGTCCATCTGTCCATCCACCCGTGTACACAACCGGCCAGCCATCCAATTACAAATTGTATTGAGAAACTCCTAAATGTTAGGGCCCTGATTTGGTGTTCTTGTTCTGAAAGTGACCACAACAACACTCTGTTTTAATAAAATCCCTTTTTACACCCTTATCACAATATGTTTGGAGATTAATTGCATCATGTGTCTGTTTGGAGGTTAAAAGCTAATGCCCCTGTTTTCTTTAATTTTTGACTCTTTCCTATTTGCTTAAAATATCGAGTACCTTTTGAATGATTCAAGCCAATTTGTGTATTCCTTCCAAATCAATAATTTGTTTTATTGAGACTTGCTCCCAGAAAGCAGCTTCAAAAAATATTTAAAATGATGGATTTGGGGATGGGAAATGGTTTGAGCACTTACCGGGATTCTTCTCCTACTTGATTTTCAAACTGTATCATGGAATGTTGTTCTCCCACCTACTTGGAGAACTAGTCTCCCGTAAATACAGCACTGAGTTAGTTTATCCAGATTTTATCCAAAAATTTAAAAATAACTCCAACACTCCCAGTTTTCCTCTCTCTACCCAATTCTCATTGATACAGGTCTTCAGAGAAGCCAGAGTTTTTAAGATGAGGTATTTCAATTTCAAGACACTTCCAATTTCAAGACATTCCTTTAAGCCAGAGATCTTTTATCAAAGATAAAGAAAAATATTTTTTCTTTTTGTTTTATTGAGATAAAGTTCACAAAATAAAATTCACTGTTTGAACTCTTCTAAAGTTTATAATTCAGTGGTTTTTAGTGTATTCATAATGTTGCACAACCAACACCACTAATTCCAGAACATTCCATCACCTCAAGAAGAAACCCTGGACCTTCCAATTCTCTCCTCCTCCAACCCCTGACAATTACTGCTCTATTTTCTGTCTCCATGGATTTGCCTATTCTGGGTTTTTTGGTATTATATAATACGTGACTTCCTTCACTTAATATAACGTTTTCAGTGTTCATCTATGTATCAGTACTTCATTCCTTTTTATCGCCAAATCCAACGTAGCACATTCTGCTTGCCCGTTCACCAGTTGATGGATGTGTGGGTTGTTTGCATTTTTTGGCTACTCTGAATGTTTATGTACACATTTATGCATGAACATAGTGTCAGTTCTCATGGTATATACCTAGGAATGGAATTGTTAGATCATATGGTAATTCTGTGTTTAACTGTTTGAGGAACTGCCAAAATGTTTTCCATAGAAGTTGTACCATTTTACATAAAAATATTTTTATACGTATTTGCTGTTGTGTGCAAAGTATTTCTTTCTATACTAATGGGTCCCTTTCCTAATTTCAAAGGTGAAAAAACAAAATGAAACCAAATGAAACAAAAACTCACTCGAGGGAATTTTAACTTGGATTTTCAAGGGCAAATGTTATGTAGTAGAAAGTGCCGCTTAACAAAATGAAGCAATAATTTTTTATACAAGCATTACATACACCTTTTTTCACTTCTCAAAAATATATTTATGACATAAATAACTGGAAATTGTTTTTATTTATAAGAATGAAATTGATATTTGTTTAATCATCACTAAGATTCTCATCAAAAAAATTGAATTCCCCTTTTAGAAAATATTTCCATTACTATGAATGATGAAAGTCATTGTTTTCAACATTATAATGCTTGTTGTGTCTTAAAAGGTATCTTTATATTTAAAATGTTGTGTCTTACACCCTTTTTATATGTAATTACACCCTGTTTTATATGTAACATATCCAAACTTTAAACCCAGGACATAGAACCTCACTTATAAGTCAGAGTCTTCCGGAAGAGAAGAGAAACCTGACAGAGTTTTTTTTAAGTATCAAGACTTGAAGTAACCCATGCACATGGCGTCAGTAAGGTGCTCATTCAGGTGGATCAAACCCTTGGCCACAGATCCCTGGTGAGTGTCCTTAGTGCGATCACTTGCTTTTCAATAATTTCTCCTAACCGTTGGTTTTATAGTTATGAATCGTCTGAATGTTTCATGTGTCAAAAAGCCAAATTTTTCCAGAAGTCTATGCATTATGCCTGCTTTTTTGTGTGTGATTCGTTTTTATTAAACACCAATTCTCTCTACTCTCACTGAATCACACCACATCATCACCAATGGGAAAGACACTCATCTAAAGGCTGTAGATTGGTGCTCTCTTACTAGGTTTGAATAGTAAAGACTTTCCTGATGTCCAGTGCAGGAGAGGCCCTCTAATTAGCAGAGATACTAGAGGGTACTTCACTAGTATGGTAGGCAGGATAACATCCCCTGAGGAGGTCCGCATCCTAGTCCGTGGATCCTGACAATATGTTCTGTCACAGGGCGACAGGGAATATGCTTGTGGATGACATTAAGCTTGCTCATCATCGGACCTTGGGGAGATTACTCTGGGTTATCTGGATGGACCCAGTGTAATCACAAGGGTCCTTAGAAGTGAAAGAGAGGGAAGGGGAGTGAGAGGCAAAAGAGATGGGACAATGGAAGCAGAGGCCAGAGGGATAGACAGCCATTGCTGGTTCTGAAGATGGAGGAGACCCTCTGAACTACCTAACTCTTCCCTAACTGGTTCATATTATTTTCCTTCCCTTCCAAACCATCTCCCCAGTCCAGATAGGTTTTCTTCCCTCCTCCCTCCTTCCAGTTAGTTCCACTTAATGTCATCCAGGGTACACTGGTCTTTGCACTGTCTCTGAACAAAGCTGCCTCCTTCCTTCACTCCTCTGCATTTCATTCAGAGAGTCGCCTCCCTTCCCTCAGCTACTTATCTGGGTCTCACTTTCAGGGTGTCCCCTGGGCTCCAGACCCAGTGGGGACCCCACTAAACGGCTGTGAGTACTTCTTGACTGATTAACAAGAGGGAAGGTAATGATGACAGCCAGAGGGAGGATAACATTTATCTTGTCACAGATGACAGCTGCCTCTTAGAAATAAAAAGAAGCTTTCTGGGATTTATTCCTTTTTTCTTTCTCTGTTTTGCATGAAAATGAACAGTTTAAATTAATCTCCTTTTTTGCTATTTCATAGGTCACTTATGTTCATCCTCTTTTCTGTACAACATGTATATGGGGTAAGTACATTAATTAGCTCTAATTGCATGCATTACTCTCATTATAAACCTTTTTGTTTCAAACAAGCCACTCGGTGGGACTCAGTTTTCTCATCTGCAAAGTGAAGGGCTGGACTAGGTGAACTCTGAGGTTTCTTTTCTATTTTACAGTCAAGACTACTTAGCAAATAATTGCCCACATATTGGAGATTTCTTTATTTTATGACAATCTTTTGTTAAAATCTTTTTTGTTTTGTTTTGTTTTATTTTTTATTTTGTTTTGTTGTTGTTGTTGGAGAGGGGCAGGAAGCAGCTGGGTCACTTCGAGATTAAATCAAGAAGTATAAGATTAAATGTGAACATTTTGACTCTGGAAAAAGAGAAGCCTAGAATATTCTGTAACAAGATCTCTTTCTTCTGCTTTCTCACTGAGGAATCAGAATTACTAAACCCCACCCCAGGCATTTCTGGGAAATCACACAATGGACCGCCTGTAAGGTAGACCTTGAGACAACTGCATGGGCTCCGTCACGATCGAGCACATCTCTATTGTACGTCCTCTCTAGCTTGGATTTATCCAATCTAATTTCTGTGATTATTTAAGTTAATAAAATAGGTCTTTTCAAAGCCAGTCAAAATAGGAAGTTGCCTTCTGGTCTCCTTTTTCTACCAGTCAGGAACAGAAAGCACAGGCATCAGGGAATCAGAAGCTCTCCCCAAGCAGTCATAGTTCACATGCATTTGAGAGCCTCATCTGAAATAATGAATGGAAACCCACTGAAATATATATGTCTGGATTTTTTTTAAAACCTGATTTCTCCATGTTTATTTCTGTATTACATTATTTTTCCTTATTGTAAGAGTCTACAGAGTCTTAAATTTAACTTCCTTTACTTCTTATGCTCCATATGAGTGAATAAAATTCTTGAACCAGACTGTTCTAGCCTGGACCCTCCTAGCGGGTTGTGCTGTACAGAGGTTTTAGATATTTTGCCCCAAAAGTAGCTTATACTGTAGTTGGGTTTGAAAGGTGGTGGTGTAAATCAATGCAGTAGCTATAGAAGGCAACTTGGCATTATCCATCCAAATTGCAAATGCATAGTCCTGTTGAACACAGGTATTTTCCTTTTTGGAACTTGTCATACATATTTATACTGACTTGGGCATAAAGAAAATGCCCAAGAATATTGGCTTCAGGGGAGCGTTCAGTAACAAGAGAAGGGAGATAGCTAAACACCCATCAAGAAGGTCTGGTTATTGGGGAGAGCACGTATTGCATGGAGCACTGGGTCTGGCGCAAAAAACAATGAATACTGTTACGCTGAAAAGAAATTTAAAAAAGAAAAAAAGAAGAATGTCTGGTTAAACAAGCTATAGTCCTTCATGCGATGGAGAGGGCTTCTGTTAAATTGGAATGATTTTGAAGACGTCTGATTAAGAAAACAGAAAGGTACAGAGAAATACACCCTTTGGGTTAAGATAAAACAAGACCAAAATGGCCAAAGAGTGCATCTCTGTGCACGTACATATGCCTGGATGTACACGTGGGTATGTGTGTGCGCATGTATGTCTGCATGTGTGTGCGTATGTGTGTACATGTGTGCGTGTGTGTTTATGTGTGTGCACATATGTTTGTGCGTGTATGTGTATGTGATCATGGCATGAACATGCTTGTAACTGTCCAGACCCTAAGTGAGAACAGTGACTGCCTCTCCTGAGTTGGAAGAGAAGATTTCTTCTTCCATTATCCTTTTGCCCTATTTGAACTTTTAATTTTGCGCAAATGTTGTTTTTCAAAAAAAGAAAAAATAGAGGCAGAAATGTAGGACTGGTTATTAATCTAGAAATTAATAACTTCTTAAACATTTTATTCACGATAAATTTGTTTAAAAATATCTGAGATAAAATGGATAGGAACTTTTCCATTTTCCTCTTTGAGGAGTAGCATTAGTTTTTGAGAATGCCAGTGTGTTCCTGGTGAATATGGTTTATACATTGAATGTTGCCTTGTCTGGGATATGGTCTTTATCTTTTTCAAATGGATTTACATGATCTGTTTTTGAGATGCAGCTTCTTCCTTTACAAATGCCTCCCCCTTTTAAGGTGGCATTTATTGGGAAACATGTAACGTAGAAGAACTTCAGAGACTAAAATGATCTCTTGCCTTTTCTCTTATCAGTACTAGTCAAAGCTTTATATGCAACTGTTTCTTTTTCTTTATTACAATCTTCTAACTTATCTAATTTATTTTAAAACGATTCTTTCCTGAAATGTAATTTTGCTACAAACATCTCTGTGATGCTTGGCACACAGTTAAGTAAAAAAAAAAAAAAAAAAAGCCAAAACAAACAAACAATAAGAGAACAAACTTGCCTTTATTATCAAGCCAGCTAATCAACCAACCTTCTTTATCTGGTTGTTTTGATATCTAACTGAACACATAGTAATGAATCCCAACCTTAAGTGAACCCAAGTGTTCAGACTAGTTATTGTAAGTGTTTTCATGCTGTCCTGGACCTGGGCTATTTAATTTTTTTTTCATCTTATCAGAGTTTTGAACTTGATGTTTCTGCATTCATAGATAACAATGTGACTCAAACCTCAAGAGGTATATATTTCTGAAACTTCAAATACATTCTTTAACTTAACTCTTGTCAAGGTTTACATTCTTATATACTTTCAATGACCCTAAGGAGTTTTGTTTATAATAATGTCTTTTTTATTAATGCTCAATTTAAAGATTTTTTTTTTGGGATTGCCTCTGAGCATATTTTCCCATAAAAAAGAGGTCTAAATTGTGTGATTGAAAAAAAATGCATTTTGGATAGATTCTTTTCCCTCCCCCCATACACATATTCATATACATGTGTATATACACATGTATATATTCCTATGTACACTACTCAGATGTATTTACATATATGTTTATGCACATAGGTGTGTATGTATGTATAGAGGTCTCTCCATCAGAACTATAACTATTGGTTCAAATGTTTTAATGTTCCCCGCCATACTTTGGCATAAAAGCTTAAATTTATAGCCTTGAGTGTAAAAGATCTATCAATCATAGAAATGTGTGGTTAATACGTAAGAGTTGCAGTGAGGGCTGGACCAGCAAGATGATGAACTAGGTGAAGTTTATCCCTGGTGCCCTTCTGATATTCCTATCCACACTCTCAGCTCCTAGCATCTGGAGCTGCTTTTGTCACTATTCCCTCCCAACCCACAGCCCCAGGCTCTGAAGGAATGCTCAGTGTCCATTGTCAACGCAGGTGCCTCATGGTGGCTGTTTTGTTGTTAAGGGGTCAATTTATGGAAACAGTTACTCTGGGATTATGCTTTTGTACTGAAGTGACAGATGACTCTGGATATAGACAATGAGGATTTGTGAGAACAAGGGGCTGATTCTTCTAAAGGATGTGTGTGTGTGTGTGTGTGTGTGTGTGTGTGTCTGTGTTTGGAGGAAGCATGAACATTAAGAAAATATGTGAGTGTGGAGTAACTCTTTAATGAAAATTTTGGAGGGAAGTTAGGGAGAAGTGGAGAAAGTGCCCAAATGATTCAAATTCAAGAGCTTTCTGGTTGAGAGACACATTAGAAGAACCTTCTTGGAGTTTCAGCAACTTGCAGGAAACAGTTGTCACGTGAAGTCCACAGCTGTGACTACAGCAGTGACCAGGAAGGACTCAGCGTTCTTGGAGGGGAAGCAAGAGGGTCCTAAAAAGCAGCCAAATTTATAATCTAAGTGAGACACCATTGTGTGCTTACAGTTTTCCTAACCATATAACTTACACTCTAAGATTATGCACAGCTTAGTAAGTGATATCTTACTAGGAAAGAGACATTACAGAAGATTCTGGCCAGTGAAAAGTGGGTTCAGAAGCAGGCTTTTTTTTTTCTTTTTAATGCTAGCTCACATGAACTTTTATTTTGCTCGCATAATCATCTTCCCTCTTATCAAGCCACAGTGTAATTTCTTTGCCTTTTTATATATCAACATTAGCCTTTTCTTTTCACAAATCCAAAGGTCAAAGTATACTGTGGAATTCTCATGGGTTAGGGAAAGCAAGGTGTTTGTTATAATGTACACAACGGGTACCCAGCTAAGTGAAGAATACTGCTTTACTAAACCAGATGCTTCACTTTCCAGAGTGGAAAGAAGTTTGTGGGTCCTTGCGGAGGAAGAGATTGCGCAGTGTGCCAGTGCTTTCCTGAAAAAGGGTCTCGGGTAAGTGACGTAAAAATCCGCATGGCCGGTGGGAAGGAGAGATGGGGAGTTGCTAATCAAAGGGCATAAAGTTTCAGTTGTGCAAGGTGAGTACGCTCTAGAGATCTGCTGTATAACGTCTTCCTACAACCAACAATAATGTAATGTTCACTTAAAAATTTGTGGCAAGGGTAGATCTCTTTATTAGGTGTCCCTACCACACTAACATTTTTGAAAAAAGACCCACATGGACAGCATACTGGAATTTGAGGTTTTGTGAATGCTTCATACTAAGGAGTCGCAGATTCTTAGCATGTTCTGGTAATTGTCAGTATTGATAGGTTTCACAATTAAAGTTCTGTATATCCTGATAAGAGATTCCAATTATATTACACTATGTGTCATGCTTGGAAATGCAAGCAGTGATTCACCCAGTGTTTTCTAGTCTTGTGAACTGCCTTATGCAAAAAGGGTCCTCGTGTCAAATGGTCCATACTTGGACACCACCATCTTGAAACTCAGGTTGCATATCAGCATTTTAAAGGCTCTGAGAAGTACTGCAGTGAGGGGGGAAAGAAGGCTTGTTTAATCTTACTTAAAGTGGGATATCCGGACATTTGACTACAAGACTGTTTTTTGGATAACATCTATTGAGATCACATGGAATAGAATTCTATAGTTGAAGTGATAGCTGCTTCTCCTGTGCCAGGCACTGTTCTGTGTTCTGAAAGTTCTTCAGCTCTCTGGCTCCTCATGACAACTCTCTTACCATCATATCATGCAGAAGATCAAAGCTCAGAGAGGTTTAGTGTCTTGATCAAGTCCACCGGGGATGGCCCCCCTGGGTGACTGCGCAAGATTCTCTATCCTGCCATGCACAATAGGCCTCTTAGCTACTGTGTTTCAGATCATTTGAGCATTATGGACTCTTCTCCCCTATATTCTGACAGCAGCAGTTGGCTGCCCACTAACTCATTTGTGTTGGAGCATTAGATCAAACAATTCTTCTGATTTAAAATACTCCCACAATCTTACAAGAAAAGAGCATGCTTCAGAAACTTCAGTTTTTTTGAGTCAGAGCAATGGTTCTTTTGGAACGTGTCTATATCAATCCTATAAAGCATGACACTCAAAAAGCAGAATTCAGTAAAGATCAGTCTACAAGGATGCAAAACATCTCCTAAGAGAAGGGACCTTATATTTTCCCCACAGCTTCAGTTTATCTGCACACAATACATGGGCAACATGTCAGAGGCTCCTCTGTTCAGCTCTCTCCCTGAAAGCTGCCATCCTATTGAGCTTCTGCTCTGGCAAGTCCCTTTCTGTTCAAGATGCTTTGTTTTTTTAGTACTTCCCAAGCTTTGCCGCTCAGAATTTATCTTGAGCTTTTCCAAGTTGCCTTCGTGATATAATTTAAAAACAAAAGGGGCAAACTTCTAGTTTTAAAATAAATAAGTCCTGGGAAAATACTGTAGAGCATGGTGACTGTAGTTCATAATACTGTTTTGTATATTTGAAAGTTGCTGAGGGTAGATCTTAAAAGTTCTCCTCCCAAGGGGAAAAGAAAAAAAAACAGTAGCGGTGTGATGAGAGATGCTAAGGAAACGCATCATGGTGATCATTTTGCAATATACACATGTATCAGATTTTGATGCTCTATACCTAAAACTAACATAATGTTATATGTCAATCATAGCTCAATAAAAAATTCTTTTAAAAACTAAGGATGTCTAAAGCTAGCAAACTAGGAAGTACTTAAGTCTCTTTTACATAAATGTGTAAAAGATTTGGGGATGGGGGAAGCCTGGATTTCATGTGAAATTTTTTAATAAAAACATATGAAGACCATGTAAATGAGAAGAAAAAGAAACCAGTGCATCTAAATATTAACACCCTTTGAGTTTGAGACCCAAGAAAAATGGACCGATCAGCTTTAGGAGAGGAAGGGGACAGGGGCACCAGAAAACAAGGAGGAACAGTTGCTTGGATAAAGCTCTGATTTAATGAGGCTGAGAGTTATTTTTAGTGGGGACATTTAGTGATGTCTAGAGAGATTTTTTGGTTATCACAGCTGGGTCGGGGGGCGCTACTGGTGTCTAATGGGTACAGGTCCAGGGTGGTGCTCAGCACCTGCAGCATGGGCCAGCCCCTACCCCCAAACTTACCCGTCTCCAAACACCCACTGTGCTGAGGTTGGGAAACCCTGCTGGAACGCAGCCACAGCTCTGTGAGGCTGCTTTGACACATAGTTTCATGTTTCCCTGCAAAGCACCTGAATTTCCAATTGCTAGTGTGTGGAAGAGGCAGGAGCCCCACCCTGGTAGCTGACTTCAGTTGCAGAGTTTGACCCACAATCACGAGAGGATGACGACGCTCAGATTCAAACACCAGATCTTCATCATAACTTTGTGAGCCCGGGGCACCCCAGCCTCGGTTTCCTTGTATTCCCACCATTAGTCCTTTCTCTTGTGTTTCCTGGGATGTTCAGCAGTCACCAGCAATGCATCTGGCGTCCCATAACACAGTGTCTGGGGCCAGGGGTTGCAAGGGCTGACGGGCCGGGCCGCACTCTGCCGTCCGTGTCCCCGTTCCTGGGTGGTCAGGGAGAGCAGAATGCACACCAGTCCACCTCTGCCCTTTCCAGCTAGAGGGCCCCCACGCGCAGGCTGCGAGTTGCTGGCGGCGGTTTCCAGCTGGGAGTCTGGGAGCTCGGCTTGCGCATAACTGGGAGGTGGTATGGGCGTGAGGGCCTCCCGAGGGCTCCCAAGGGCTCAGCAGTCAGCCAACTCACATACCAGCTCAGGGCTGCGGTGACAGCTCAAGGGGGGCTAGAGAAACAGGACTAGACCCAGTTTTGGAGGGTTGAGGAGCCGCCCAAGGGGGCAGAGCCCGTGAGTGGCACAGCCAGGCATTCCTCAGAAGGAAATTATTCCCTTTTTCGGGGTGAATGCCTGAGTGAGTAGTTTAAGCCCCGATCAGAACTGCTATGTCTGGAGCAACTGCTGGGAAGCCAGGCCGGCCCCATGCCCTGGAAAGACCAGGGGTTAGGGCTGGAACCGGGGACCCACGTGGGAGTTTGAGGTGGAGCTGGGGTGTATCTGGGGCAGGGAACCAAGGACTGACAGTTCTGACAAAGTGAAGTTCAGTTGCATCCATGGACCGTGGAGGCCCCTAGTGTAGCTTCACCGTGTTTTCCCACCAGCCGTCCCTGCTGCTTCCCTTCCCCCCGCCCCCCCCCCCCCCCCGCCTCCGCCCCAGCTGCAATTGTTGAGCCACTCACTCCCTGGAGCATAAGCTGAACCTTCTCACCTGCCTACTCCTTTCTGGAATGTCTTCCCACTTGCACTCAGCCTCTGTCTTTCCTGCCCTCCCCAGAGGAGCTCTGTGGAGACCCCAGCCCTCCCAAGGCATCCCCTCCAACTCCCCTCCAACTCCTCCCAGCCAGTGCTGATGCCCCTGGTGGGGACTCCGTTCCCTTCCCTCATACTGCTCGTACCTGCAGCTCTGTTTGGGTGTGAGCATGGATGCCCTTGACCCTCTTGCTGAGATCATAAGCACGCCCTCCTTCAAGGTGCTCCTATGGACACATGTACAGTGTTGATGTTGGCTCCTGGCCCACAGTGGACACCCTAGAATTGAAGCTGCTTACTTGTGTTTCACCCCTTAAGAAATGGGGGTCAGTTTCTTGTACTGCTTCGAGATGATAACGTTACATGGCACATTAAGACAGTTAGTCATAAATCAAATATGTTAAAACCAGACTCCAGCCTGGGCAGGATCGGGAGCCTGGGTGGGTAGCCATGCTGTCCTAGAGCATGCCTACAGGGACACCTACCATATCTGAAGGGGGGGATCAGAGTTAGCAGGGAGCCCCTCACCCCAATCCTCCCCACACCCACACACGTACATCTTTAAGCCTGATACTAAATGCATAATCTCATGTAAATTCAAATCCCCTTGTGGTTACAGGAAGGGCCAGAAATAAGTGCCTTGAGCAGTGGCAGCAAACAGCCCTTTAAGGGCTCAGGACCATCCTGGAAAGAGCTCCAGGTGGAGGGTGGGAGATTGGAATGCCTATGGCTTCTTCTTTGCGGTTCAGAGTCTCAGCTGGGAAATAAGTGTTTGTCCTGTGGGGCTGATCCAGTCCCTTCCAGCCCTAACAGTCTCAGGTTCTGTGATGTGGGCGAGGCCTTTTACATGTAACAGCTATATAATTGGCTTCCAAAATATTTTGCGACTATGCCCTAACATCTCCCCTAACTTCATGGTAGTCCCTCTTTAAGGACATGAATGAGGTGGCCTTGGGCAAGATTTTAAGGTTTTCTTTACTAATTTCAGCAGAGGAATCTTCACGTTTTTGATGGCTGCCTCCTTGCAGGGGAAATTATGTGTCTTTACAGAATAGGATGGGACCTTTTACAAGTTCAACTTTAGTAACTAGAAGGATACTAAAGACTCTTTCTACAGCTTTTTCCAGAATAAAATATATACCCATACTGTCTTTTGTTCAAGGGAATCTAGCAGCTGTTGAACTGTTAACTGTTATAGTAAGAACTTTATAATTTGGTGGTTTTTGTACAAGGGGTCAAAGAGCTTAAAACTCAAGACTTGTTTTAGTTTTTGCGGTTTGGAAGCTAAAATCACACATTAGCAAATTAGTGTTTCCTATGGGAATTTTAAATCACAAAAAATGTACAAGTATTTTTCCCCACAATCTCATTCATTTGTCTCACACACTCCTAAGAGCCTGCATTCCATGATAAAAATGGAATTTGCTTGGGGGATTTTAATTATTAACATTTTTCATTATTAAATTATTTGCACACAAAGTTCTAGAACTCTATCTCTTTATCCCTCATACAGCTGTATTCCAGTACACTGTAGCCTGATAAATGGTACAGAGCAATTAGTTTTAGATCCCAAAGTTCCCATAACTCACTTACGCTATATTTTGGTGTAGGCAGATTCCAATGACAACTGACAAATTTGATCTGTCACCAACCCCTTAGATTTTTGGTTCT